AAATAAAAATTTGATTAAAAACATTGAAATACTTCTTTTGAATTAGAAAAGGAAAAATATTTTTTAATAAAAATAATTAAAGCTTTATTGCGCGGACTTTTATATGCGGACTATTTAATGTCTGCCATTTAAAATTAAAAATATTTCAAAATTATTTAATTATTACCTAATATTTTGTACTTTTTGTTTATTAATTAATGTGCTTTATAGAGAATGTACTTTTTTAGAGAGCGGCACTTATTTATCATTAGTCAATAAAAAGTACAAAATTAAAGAAAAATATGTATATATTTTAAATAAAAATTCCTTTGTATTTGCCTAATCAAGATTTAGATAGCAACATTGTTGATTGCTTGTCTAAAGGTTAAATTTTGTTAATAAAATTTGAGTCAACCTCAGTTTGCAAGTTTAGAAAGATTTTATGCAACAGTAAAATACCGTGTCGTATAAATTCTATTAGCCTCTACTATACAAAAGGGGAAATGCAAACATTAGCTGTAGTTTAGTATACCGCAGAGGTGGGTCGGAACAGTCAGAGGTGTCGGAAATCGGAACTGCCGGAAATCGGAAATGGCTCAAAAGTCGGAACTCGGAAATCGGAAATCAAATTTTTTTTCGGAAATCGGAAATCGGAAGGAAAAAACGCCGGAAATCGGAAATCGGAAGGCGGAAATCGGAAATAAAATTTTTATTTTCATAGCTGAAACAGGGTGACCCTTTTACCCTATTTATAGGGCATTTGCCCTATTTTTGACTTTTTCGCCCTAGTTTTTCCCTATTTTTTCATTTGCCATATTTTTGCCCTATTTTTACCATTTTGTAAAATTTTTACAATTTTTACAGTGAAATGGCTGAAAATTGAAGAAATCTGACCGTTATCCTTCCAAAATTATTAAAATTTTCGCCTGCGGCGCAAAAATGAAAAATCTGGCTTCTTGGTCTTACAAAATTCTCAAAATTTTCGCCTGCGGCGCTGAAAAAGATTAATTTTTGAAGACTTTGTGTGAAATCGAATGCCTGTGGATTTGAGAGATTAATGATGTCCATTCATAATTTCTCCCAATCCCATTATATCCCTCCAATTGACTCAACTTTTAGTGCTTCCAGTTTTTTCTGTGACGAAATAAATCAGAATGAAGGTCAAATTACTTAAGTCACTTGTCTCGATTAAAATTAATTCTTATTTTAGTTATACCCAGGCGCATGATCTCATCATTTCTGAACCAAATTTACTTAATTTAGTTCAAAATGGTGAAAAATATGCGGAATCAAGCTTTTTATTATAATTTTAATTGTTTTCGAAGTGTTTTAAACAATGCCCTATTTTTTGCCCTATTTTTGACAATTTTCGCCCTATTTTTGCCACATTTTTGTGTGGCTGCGCCCTATTTTAGTGGTTTGGAAAGGGTCACCCTGAGCTGAAATAATATTTAAAATTGTAAGGTGGCAAATTTTGGCCTTTTGAGTGAGTAGATGTTCTTTTTGCAACACAAGAGTCAAATTCGAAGGGATTAAAAGAGATATTGTGGGATTTTTTTGATTAGACGGGATATCAGAGAATTTATAGAATTAATAGGGATATTTGGAGATTAAAATTGAGGACTGATAGAGGGATGAGATATAGAGATTTGATAAAGGAAATTTAAGGACCCACTCCTGCTCGAAATACAGAGCTAATCCTCCGATATACCATTCAACTTCCATTTACAGCGCCGCAGGCAAAATTTTTGAGATTTTTGGAAGACCTTAAGCCAAAAATCTTTCATTTTTTGCGCCGCAGGCGAAAATTTTGAGAATTATAGAAGTCTAGAAGCCAGATTTCTTCCTTTTTCAGCGCCGCAGGCAAAAATTTTAAAAATTTTGGAAAAATTGTTAATCGGAAATATGCCTTAAAAATTGTCGGAAATCGGAAATTTTCCCAAAATTTCGGAAATCGGAAATCGGAAGGAAAAAAAACGTCGGAAATCGGAAATCGGAAGTCGGAAATCGGAATTCCGACCCACCTCTGGTATACCGGAGTCGGAACTTATGCAGTTTGGGTATTTGGGTACACACCCCATTTATTCGCGAGATACACTCCATTTATTAGGCGAATTGACTAGACAACCCGATTATTCGCGAGCTAGCAAGAAACCTATATTACAGCCTACTAAACAAAGCAGCTCTCGACTCTTGCGAGACGCGTGCTGGTTACACCGCACGATGCGAGGAACTATGCCCAAGCGTTTTTCCGACCTACATATGGTTACTTTGACCATTTTTAGCTTGCGAATATATGGTTTGTGTACCCAAACTGCATAAGTTCCCCGGAGTCTTGGTTTCGACACAAAACCCATATCATTCGATTCGTCTCGGCGAGCTGAGTCGAAGGTACCAGTCTTTTTTGCCGGAGATGCCTGTGGACCGAGATATAGGTCCCCAAATATCGAAAAGTCATAGGGGGAGTAAGCACAAGTAGCACAAATAAGCTCTCGGTGTTTGCGGTTTTCGCGGCGTTTTGCGGTTTTCGGTAAATAAATTTTGTTCTGACTAAAGCGTTTCCATTTTCTTTTAATTCAAAATTTTTAAGTTTGCATCAGCAAGTCCCATCCTATTCTACTACAACTTCCATCAATTATCAAAAGCAAAGAGGACTTAAAAATTGTTTATTATTATTTAAATAAATTATTTAATTGTTCTTTTAACTATTGCTACTTTGAAAATTTTATATTCAATCCAGAATTAATTCAATTATTATTTGGAAGAGTTCCTAAACAAATTTATGTTCGAGAATGCGAACTATTTATTAATGACTACAATATTGAAAATATATTTAAATTTACTTTAAATAATTTAATTAGCGAAACTCTCTATATTTATTTTCCTTTATCTAAAGAAATTATAGAGAAATCTAAAGATGATTTATTTTAATTTTTAATAAATGGTGGAGACAATTTTGATGTAGTTGAGTTGATTTTTGATAATTCTCCAGGAATTGTGGATGATATTACTATAAATGTACAAATATTTTATAATCGTCTTATCGAAGTTTATTTATAAAAAATTTAAAAATAAATTCAAATTTAAGTATATAGCAACATCTAGAGATTATTCAAAAATGTTGCCTTTTATTATTTTTATTTTCTCCAATCCCACAAGTCTTAAATTAAGTGAACGGGCTGAAAAAGTTGAAATTGAGCAATCAAATTGGTATAAATGTACAAAATACCAAATTGCAAATATTCACAATCCAAAGATGAGATTTTCATTTGTCACTGAAGAAGGAAGGGATGAATCAACTTTTTATGTTGAAATTGGAGGAATTAAGTAATAAAATTTGTAAGACAAAAATAAAGTTTTTGATGGGAGCAGAACAACGTACCGCAGCCCAACATATTAAAAATCAATTAGAGATTTTGTATTCCTTTATTCTGAACATCCGTTCTTGCGATACGTTGGGTCTGCGCTAAGTTGGGTTTTTAATTTAAATATTGTAGAAATTAATATTTTTGGGAAATTTTTGTTTTCACTGACATTTTCGATTAAATTAATTTATAGTTTGTTTGCATGTCACTTTTAAATGTTGAAGCTAGGGTCCCTCATATATGATACACACACAAAATTTAAAAAACCAAAAATTTTTGAAAATGTTTTTGGTTAACTAAAAATTCCTCCAAAATAAAACCGATAATTGTCTAAAATGCAAAACTGAAGACGGGGAAACTTTTATAAAAAGCTTCGAAAAAAGCTTCTGAAAAATCTGTCAAAAAATTTTTTGCCTAAAAATTTAATTTAAAATCTATATTAAGACTTTATCTAATTAAAAACTTGATGAAAATAAACTTAATAAAAAATAATTTAATCGAAGAAAGTCAATGATGAAATTTAAAAAATATTTAAATATTTAATCTTAAATGAAATAAAAAATACTTAAATTTATTGAAATATGAAAAAAATGATTTTAATTTCAAAATATCTTTAAGAAATAAGGATTTTTTAAAAGGATTTCTTAAAGTATTTCTTTGCTTAATACATCTCCTTTATTATTTTAATTGACAAATTCGATATCCGAATCGACCATCTCCACTTCCCTTGTTATTCCGTTTTTGTCTGAATGAAATTCGTATATTCCTTCATTCAGAATTGAAAATATTCCGAAAATCATTCCTTGATTTGCGACGACGTGTGTGTAATCATTATATACATCCATTTGACAATCTTCAATATCATCTCTTTCCGTTTTTGACAAATAGATATTTATGGACTGTCTCAAACTTTTCAAAACTTTTTTCTCTAAATCATTCATTTTCTTGAACATTTTGAAAACACATTTTTCCTCATTTTCTTTTTTAATTTTAACGAAAAATTCAAGCCAACCCTCTTGCCATCTTCTGACGACGATAACAAAATAATTTCCTGGACTTTTAAATTTTAGACAAATTTCTATATGAGAATATTCCATTATCATTTCAGGTTTTTTTCCATTCAAAGAAAATGGTTCAAATAAATTAACCTTGGTATACTTATAAATTCGTCTGATTGATTGAACATAATTCTTTATAACTGAGGAATTTTAAAATATCGAGCGTCGTTTCTGCCGGAAAGCAAAACATTCTTTTGAACTAAAGCACTAAAAATTAAGTTAAAAAATTATTTAAAAATCTAAACAGTTTTTTAGGTACTAAACACCATTCTTAGTGCTAACAAAAATAACGAGATAAGACAGTAACTAACAAATTGTAATACAAATAACAATCAGTAGATTGTGAACATATGTAAATAATGTTGAAAATAAAAAAGAATGAATGAATAGAAATAGAATGACACTGTACTAACACCTTAGACTAAATATTAGTATGGCTTTTATACTACAACTAATACCCAACAAAGTTTAAGAATAAAAATAGGTAGATAAACTTTTAGATTTTAAATTTGGACAGCCACTTGTCAAAAAGTCAATGAAAATCTACAACTTTTTTAAAAATATTTATTTTTCCGATAAATCAAAAACTTTATTTTTGTCATTCAAATTCTACTTTCTTTATTTTAACTTTGACATCATAACTCGAACCATCATTCCATTCTTCATTGCAAAACGAGAATCTCACTTTTGGATCATAAATATTGGCAATTTGATAAATGGCAGATTTTAAATTATTCATTTGTTTAATTTCTACGTTTCCCGCTATTTCGCTTAATTTAAAACTTGTGGGAGAAGAGTAATCAAGAGTAATATTATGTACAAGTTTTAAACAGTCTCTAGATGTTGCTATATACTAAAAATTATAGAAAATTTTAAATTTAATCTCTCTGCAAACAGCTTACTTCAGCAATATAATCATAAAGCACTGTTATATTTCTATTATTCAAAATTCCTGCCCGTCTAGTAAACATCAAATAAACTTCTTCAAAATTGTCTCCCCTCGTTAAAATTTTAAATAAAATATTTATATATTTCTTCATGTCTGCTCTATTTATAAAAAAATGGAGTATAAGAGTTCCACCAATTAAATGATTCAAAATAAATTTGAATAAATATTCAATTGTGTTATCCATAACGTACAAATTGGATCTTTAAATATAAAATTGTTTAGGAATTCTTCCAAATAATAATTTAATTAATTCTGGATTGAACACAAAATCATCAATAAAGCCATATTTAAAAGAACAATTAAATAATTTATTCAAATAGTAGTAAACAATTTTGATGTCCTCTTTATTTTTAATAAATGTTGGCAGTTGAAGTTTAATATGATGAGTAGGGCTGTAAATTATATGGAAATCCATATTTTTTTCCTGAATTGCTAAGGGTCTGAAACGCACGAAAAACATTTTCCGCACTGTTTGCTTACAAAAATGAGGACTTGGTGACACGACTCGGGCACAGTGATCCATTTGCACAGTAAGACTTTTGCACAGAGGGCATCTGCACAGTGGACGATTGCACAGTAATTTGTGGTTAAGTGGATTCGTGTTAGGTTTTACTTATTGTTATAAGGGAATAAATGTTACTAATTATTAATACCTTTACTAAAAAAATCTTAAATTGTATTAGAATTCATAAGAAAAATCTGTAAATCACATAAAGGATCAAATGAATAAAAAATCTAACTGAACATACTTATTGCCCCGAGTCTTAACAACATTTTTTAAACAAGTAAAAACTTTTTGGATATGTACCCCTTTTAAAAAATCTGATTTCTGATGCACTGTACTACCCCAACGCAGTTCGACTAGGCGTACTCAGTCAAGTGCGTGTCCAGCAAGAAATTTTTTAAAAAAGTGAAAAGGTGTTTATCTAATATAGCAGACTCAGGAATACAAGGGACTGTATTTAAATTTCGAATAAACCATTTTATGATTAAGAAACTTATTAGAAAGTAAATTATTTATCATTAAAAATTAGTAAAAATTCATTTTTACAACGGTGCCGTGTGATTTAGGCAGTGGTGAATTGGGCAGTGAGTTATTTGGACAGTGAGTGATTTGGGCAGTAAACGTTTTTTAAAAAATAATTTTACACGCAAAAACAATTTGAGTAACATTATAAAAATAATTTTGAGTGATTTGGGCAGTAACTTAAATTTTCTAATTATTAACACACAAAAATTCTAAGTACCTTCGCCCAAGGTACAATGTTAAAAATTTTCCTAAGTGATAAGTAGTTTTAGGTACGAATAATCGAGAAATAGGTCCCTATTTTAGGTTTCTTACGGGTTAAGATGGTGTCAAAAAATCTGAAAAAGGCCAAAATATGTTTCTTTTGAAAAATATGTTGAATTTACTTCATGTTAAAATAAATATTTTTAATTTTTTTATTTAAAAAGATTTAAGTTACTGCCCAAATCACTCAAAATTATTTTTATAATGTTACTCAAATTGTTTTTGCGTGTAAAATTATTCTTTAAAAAACGTTTACTGCCCAAATCACTCACTGCCCATTTAACTCACTGCCCAATTCACCACTGCCGTTTTCACCAGACACGTTTACAACAAATGCACTCTTTAATAGAGTACGTCCGAGTCGGGTCTAGTACGAGTATACCCGACTCGATCTCTCGGCTTTTATACAACTTTACTCGTACTCGATACTCGGGGTCTTAGTACCCGGCATTACTCGTACTCGGAAACTTCATACTCGACGTACTCGGTTAAAACCGAGTATTTTTATGCCCCTATCTGCAGCGCAATAAGGAAGATTTTTTGCTTAAGGATCTTCCAAATTACCCAAAATTTTCGCCTGCGGCGCTGAAAAAGGAAGAAATTCTGTCCTTGGCCTTCCAAATTTCCCAAAATTTTCGCCTGCGGCGCTGAAAAAGGAAGAAATTATATTATCCATTGATTTTCCACCCGAAGCCCGGAGACAACATGAATCTCGGGCGATATCATGGAATTTCGGCGGATTAAGAGGGATATCGGCGGATTAACGAAAATGATTTGTATGATGATCCCATGCATGACTGTCAACAAATGCCCAATACCCAGCATTTATGCTGAATAAAAGTATTGTTTTTATTAAAATTATTTTAAAATACAGTTTTATAAAAATTACTCGATTACTCGATTTACTCGTACTCGTACTCGGCCTAAAAATTGAAACTCGTACTCGTACCCGGACTTTTCATACCCGGCTTTACTCGTACTCGGGTTTTTCCAAATTACTCGTACTCGGACGCACTCTACTCTTTAATAAAGATCTGCTAGAATTGTCCACTTGATAAGCGAACGAAAATTTAGAACATGTAAAAAAGAATTAGGAAATATTTAGGTTAGAAAAAGAATTATGAATTCTAATACAATTTAACTTTTTTTAGTAAAGGTATTAATAATTAGTAACATTTATTCCCTTATAACAATAAGTAAAACCTAACACGAATCCACTTAACCACAAATTACTGTGCAATCGTCCACTGTGCAGATGCCCTCTGTGCAAAAGTCTTACTGTGCAAATGGATCACTGTGCCCGAGTCGGAGCGCCGAGGACTTTCGTTTCAATATTTTCCATATTTTTCCATATTTTGGCATTTCGTCCATATTTTCCATATTTTGTCCATATTTCGTCATTTTTAAAGGAAAAAGTGTCCATATTTCGACATTCTGTCCATATTTTCCATAATTTATCCATATTACGCCATTTTAAAAAAAATGAAAAATGTTCGGCGTTTTGAAAATTTTAAACATTTATTTGGGCGCGACCATACTTCGGCTCAATCCAATTTGCCACATCTCAAAATGTCCAATTGACTAAAAATACTCATTTTGTCTCATTAAAACTAAAAATCCGTTAATGCTCGCGACCAAATTATTGAATTGTGAATGAAAATTTAAAAATTTTATCCATATTTCGTCCATATTTTAGGATTTTTCCCATATTTGCATCCATATTTTGAAAAATTTCATCCATATTCTAATGCATATTTTTTGGTTTTTTCGTCCATATAATTTACAGCCCTAATGATGAGACGCGTCAAAGCAAACTGAAATAAAATTTAATTCAACTATGAAAACATTTCGGTAAGTCCAAACGAAAAATTTATATACCAAAGAAAGGACAAAGAAAGTTATTAAAACGAGTCCGAGAAATTTGGGCTCTCGAAACAAAGCTTGACTTTTATTTTTTACAGAGGCGAGACGAATTTCCTCTACAAAATATTGTCCAAATTATTGCTGCGCATAAAACTTTTCTCGCTACGGACAGCAGTTGATTCTAGAAAATTACAGAATTTTACCTTTAGATAAACCAATAACAATATTTTTGTTTGTAAAATCTTGATCGGGTAAATAAAGAGGAATTGGTTTTTCTAGTTCATTCTTCAACTAAAAAAAGTTTTTTACTTTTAAATATTTAAAATTACCCTCTCTTCAACTTGTTCATTCAATGGAAAGTCAAAATTTTCAGCTTTAGGTTTAATTAATTTATGAAGAAGTCTTTTGGTCTGATTGTAATATTCCTTTAAAGATATTTAAAAATTAAATAAACTAAAAAGATTACAATAGAGATATTAATTAATTTCTCCCGAGCAAGTTCTCCTTCAGAATTATTAACAAAATCACGGAAATATAAATTTGTTTGTTTAATTGAACATAATTCTTCATAACTGAGGCATTTAAAAATATCAAGTTTTGTTTCTGTTGGTAAAGAATAAAACATTTTTTGAAGAAAATTGAATTAAGCACTGAAAATTAAGAGTTTATTATGTACTAACAAAGGAATAAATTAGATAAGACAGTAAGTAACTAACTGTGCTTTAGCACGATAAAAATAATACAAATAACAACCTACAATTAGAATATAGCTAACAATAAGCGACGAATATGTTGTTGGAGGCAAAATAGAATAGAAAAATATTAATAGAATAACATCGGACTAAACAATAGAATGGCTTTTATACTAAATTTTCGAATATAAAGGTGATTCTGATAGCAGAAAAATTCTTAGAGTATCAGAAATCCAGGAAAAAAGAATTGTCGGGTTTCATTCAAAATGAAAAGTTAAAAGAAAAACTACATAATTTGCCGCACCCTGTACATAAGGACAAAAATATAAACAAATTAAGATTTTTTAAATTTGTTCGGAGGAGAATTTTCCCCCGATTCATGGTAAAACATTAAACGTAATACTTTTTAAACCTAAATGCTACACTGAAACGAGGCTTTAACTGTGGTCACTAACAGTTAAAAAAAAGATAGAAATAAATTGTCAGGCTTACATATAAAACAAAAGTAATTTAATCAAAAAACAATGAAAAGCAAAATTTTTTAAAATAATTTTGTCCAATAAATCAAATAAAATTTCCGTTTTCATCTACTAAACTTCTACTCTTCCATTTTTCTGATTTTAATATCAATTGATCCATACTGTTCATTACAAAATCTCTTTAATCTTAGGATCTCTTTAATCTTAGGAATTGTTGGTCTTAATCTTAGGAATCATAAAACAAAAAATAGCAGATTTTAAATTATTTGTTGTCTCTGTAAAAATTCTAAAGGTAATGAAAAACAAATAAAAAATTTTTTTAATGTTTATCAAAAAACAAAAATTTTAAAACTGATTTTTAAAATCAAATAAATGAAAGCAATAGACTGGAATGGACCTTTCTGAATCTACCCAGAAGGGTACGGCCCACCTTGTCGCGCGGCCACCTTGTCGCAGAACCATAACTTCCTTCAAGTTTTCCGAATCTTACCAACTTTACAGGGTGCGCCATAAGTAACCGGACACTTGTTTTCTCTCATAACTTTATTAAAACACAATCAAATAAAATCGAAATACAATCAGATGATAGAGAATTAAATAAGGAACAAAAATAATCAAGAAAATTCGAGATGCCCACCTTTGGCTTTGATACAGAGGCGAAGGCGCGAAGAAAAATTTTCGCAAATAGCACGCACCTCCTTGAGTGTAATTAAGTCCCACCCTCGGGTGAGAGAGTGACGCAGAAACTCCAAACTTTTATGAGGCA